AGTCAGTCAGTCAGTCATGGGTCGTAAACTTTTTGTGGCTAGTGTATTCTGTGGGAGGGGCAACGTTTGCATGAACATTGTGAACAAAATTACTGCCAAAGCGATAGAATGATCTTTCGCGTTTGGAGTCGAACTATGACTCCCAAATTTGAGAGCCTATCTGATATACAATGAAGGTGGATGCATATTTCAATCTATTGATTCCTTTGACAGCTTTTAACTGAAACGTTATCAAATATCAGTGCTAGATATTCACCCTTAAAAAGCGTGGGGTTTTTTGTAAATTATTTCAGATCTCCCTACTTTCTCATTTTTTTATATGAACATTTTGACTTTCCCGGCTATGCTATATAAATACAAACCATCTGTTAGCTTACGAGATGAAAAAGGTCCTACATCAGGATTCAAACTTACAACCTTCAGATTATTACTTTGGCAACCTCCAACTGATGTAATTTTTCAGGGCTAAGAAAAATATAAAAACTCGCACATGGCTATATAAACCGCTGATTTATCGATTACCACTACTTAAATGATTTTCACAGTGAGCTTACAGCAAGCGACTACAAATTCAAATGGCAGTTGTAGGGGAGGCTGGCACCTACTTTGATTTCACAGCTTTTTGAGTTTCGATGATCGCCCTACTAAGGAGATCTTATCCATCATGTAAGAACCGTAACAAGCATGCAAATTATGCGAGGTAATCGTATCGTGTTTCATCACCATGTTTGTTCAGGATTTACCTCCGATAGTTCTTTATTCACTGTTTGTAGCAACAGGCCTGAGACAATCAAGAATAAGGGAATGAGGGGCCAGCTTTGTATCAGATTAGGGACAAGGTTCAGGCTCATATTTTCCAGTAGACCGTGGTAGATTTCCCATTCTTGGTTGCCTGTATAGTTTTCGCTGAATCAGGAGGATACCTACTGGACAGGTGCAATAAGCTGAAGCTCATATTTTGCGTTCTTGCTTCTTGTGAGATTTGAAGTCCTCTTTAGAACTTTGATTTCGATTGATTGAAGCTCAATGCCTCATCCGGTATTCTTTTCTTGATTGCAAGTTTTTCTTACTGATTGCTTTTATGTATAAATAACATTTACTTACATCAAATTTCATTACATTACATCACTAACAGACTAACTTTATATACATCACATACATAGGAAGCAGAAAATATGAAAGGAATACAATTCCGAGCTACTTTGCTTTTCGAGCACTAGTGTGATTCATTATTATTCCCTGTACTACTTTGGAAAGTTCGGGTTAGAATAATGGTTTTATTTAGTCTTCATTAATTAGACCAAAATATACTCTACTTGTGATGCCTTAGCCTGTGAACGCAGACGTATTTCCAGCTGTCTCTTGCACACGTGCTCGCCAACCTGCAGTGATTCAAACGGCAACATTGAATGCAAGAAAGATTTTTGCTGGCAATCCTGACATAGCAGCAATTACATGTATTGGGATGTTTATTTCAGTCGTCTTTTCTTTATGATCCTTTCGTGGACCAGAAAGAGACAACGTTTTGTCATAACCTGTATTTCCTCATTGTTTACGTATGTACATTAATCTGTACCAAACAGACACCACCTCTGACGTCTTTCTCAACAATCTCGTTTGCATGCTAACAACTGAGAAAAACTGATCCGCCACCCGCGCTGCTTGATGATTTTTCTGATCCGACCGAAGAATAGGTAATGTTTCCAAAACCAAGGAGAAACCTACAAGTAGGATCGACATTGTGAACCCCTGTAGTCTGACCTTTGAATCTGACCGGTCACGCCTCCCAAAAACAAGAAATCAATGGAAACAAGGGGTTTGCAGAAGTCCCAAAATTAAATTGAGGGTAACGCTTCAATCGCTCTTGACCAGACAACTCAAGCAGCTGTGAAATTAAAGCCTGAAAAAAATTCAGGCTTGAACGGGATTCAAACCCAGTTGGCTTGACAGCTCAGTTGGTAGAGCACAGCACCGGTATCGCTGAGGTGATAGTGTCTTACTCTACAATCCAAAAATCGTTTCACCTTCTACCTCTGAAATAACTTGATACGACTTCACGGTGCAATCGACTGTGAAAGCCCCATAACACTAGTCAGCGGATGTTCAAAATGTCTAGCAGGAAGCGAAGGAGTGAGTGATGGAGTGAATGTCCCTTCCATAGCTACAACTTGAAAAAATTATTTTCCTAGTTGAAAATGGAGCACACCCCGACTCATTTTGTGGTTTTAAATTAAGGGTGTTTTGATAAGCTTATTGCATTGCTGTAGTAATGTGTAATGTGAAGAACTTAGTTACCAATGATTGGGTGTGTTAATTCCATTGCTGTTGTGTCAACTGAAAAAGGGTGGCAGTTTTAATCTATCCCAGTAGAAATGCTGAACCCTGGTGGGATAAAAATGCAGAGATATAAAATTTCATAGCTTAAAGGATGTTAAACCAAATGGAATTGCAGATAGAGGATCAATATAGCTTCTACTTCCTGCTAGAAATCAGTCTTCATTCAGAGTTACAAACTCCATTCTGTTCGAATAGGCGATTTACAATGGGTACACAACGTAGTCTCATCTGAGATCAAAACAATTGAGATCTTTTGTAGTTTTTCTTTGCATTCACTGATGCGCATGCCCTGACGCACAGCGGTATTCTAAACTACAAGGGACGGGTTTAGGTCCATTCACAATAATATGAACACAAAGTAGTCTTAAAACGTCAGTGTACTGTCTTCCATTTTCAGTGGAAAACCCTCACATCCTATTCTTCTAGCTTGGGAAATAGTGCGAATAGTACCCCGACAGCTCCAGTTCAGAATTTAATTTTACCTGCTGTCTAAGCATCCTCTTGTCTATGTCATGAAGAAAAAAGAGTGCTTGTTAGCATACCTGGGAGGCTAGGTTTAAGTGTAACTACATTTTGTTTTATCATAATTGTCAGTCCTATTGTTTCCAGGTCATCCTCAGATCACAGAAAAGGATATGCATGGGCCCAGCCTCCTGATTATTTTGCTGATGATTTTCAAGACTGACTTTATTATCTGCAGTTGCCTTGCTGTGTTCAAGTGGTCTATAACAATGTAAAGCAACCATTGCAGGGTGTTTGTAACTAGTCATTTATTACATTTTCTAAGTTACTTTGAATTCTCTTTCATTCGAGCTTAAAAGGGCTGAGTACTGATCCGCTAAAGGAAGGACATAAAGCCTGTTAGAAGAAAAGGTAAAACAAGTGATACTTGAAGGAA